CTCTCGAAATCCACTCTGATCAAGGAAGAGATTTTAAAGCACAAGTTTTCGCTCACGTTATGGAACTTCTTGGAATCCACAAAACCAGGACAACTCCTCTCCATCCCGAATCAAATGGGATGGTAGAACGTTTAAACAGAACTCTGTTAAATTACCTCGCGAAATTCATCAACGACAATCAGAAGGACTGGTATAGATGGCTCCCTCTGTTTTTGATGGCGTATTGCTCGTCCAAACACCAGACTACCGAATTTTCTCTGGCAATGTTGATGTGTGGGAGGAAATTAAGAGTTCCTCTTGATTTGTTACAGGGAACTCCACGTTCAAATTATGTGAATGACGACATCAATCCGGCAACTTATGCTGATCAATTACAAGATCAACTTGCTGACATTTACCAGAGGGTAAGGAAAAATTGGTCATTGAAAAGTGACAAAATAAAATCGCGGTTCAACTTGAAGGGTCATATGAGCTATTTCCGTCCTCGACAAAAGGTCTATTGGGAAGCAAATTACATAGTTCGTTCAAAATTAAATGACGTAGTTTATCGTATCCAAAAGCTTCCCAAGGGAAAATTCAAGGTAATTCATGTTAATCGTCTGTGGCCAATTAAAGAGAATCTTTATTCTTAATTTGTGAGTTGAGATCTTTGGTTATAGGAAATAAAAAAAACGTGGTTAACGGAAATGATTCGTAGTTAACGAATTGTCAATGGTTAACTGACTTCAGAGTCCGTGGTTAACGGAAATGATTCGTGGTTAACGAATTGTCAGTGGTTAACTGACTTGAGGGTCCGTGGATAACGGAAATGATTCGTAGTTAACGAATTGTCAGTGGTTAACTGACTTGAAGTCCGTGGGTAACGGATTACCAGTAGTTAACTGGTTCACAAACTCAAAATTCACATATTAATGATTCAGTATTTTAAAAGGATTTAATTGATAATTGAACGCCTTTCAAGGCCTGGGTTGACTTGAATTTTCTCGACATATTACATCAAATTATGAATACCGTGGTATTACGAACTGGAAACGTGTTGTAATTACGATAGCATTTTGTAGTTATAGTAACCACATTCCTGACTCAATTTGCGATATCTGATGTTATTGTAAGGTCTTTGGTTAGAGTTACAGAACCTGAAACTTGAGGCCATGAGGAAATTATTCGGCATTTTATGAAGTTTGGTAAATTATAATTGAATGACGTATGAGAATGATTTGAGAATATTTGATTCTGAGTGAGAGACTTGACACTTCCTTTCATCCAACACAATAATTTGTAATACATAATTTTAGAATTTTGTTATATTGAGTCACACATGTATGAGTGTTTCGGGACTGTTTCTTCAGCGCTGATTTCTGGGAGGTTTCAGCGGGAGAAATACCTGGAGCCCACCCTATGTGAGATCTTCCATCTCCAAACATTTCTCTGAATTTTTCATTTGATTTCAACTCTATTCATTATTGGAGTTATGATTGTTGGATGCAATATCTCAAATAGCTCCAGTGGTTGTCGGGGCGACAACCTTTCTCAAGGGGGAGTAGTGTAGGATGTCCCCCTTGCTCTATTCGAATTAGAAAAGAAAAGAATGTACAAATCCTTGGAAACGATTGTCTAATGAGAATAATAAAAGAAGACTTCACTTCGATCGGAAGGCTCGAGCTATTGACATCTTTGTAATAATAAAATCGCGCTTTGATTGAAAGTCTGGCCTTTAATTATTGCCATAAATCTAACAATACTATACAGGGTGTCCTGCAACCGAGCTTTTTCCTTCGAAGGTATTGAGGAGGGTGCTTTTTGAAGTGGAAAGTTTCTCTTCCACTTTTGGATCCAAGCTTTTTTTTTGGTCTTTTTTTCCTGGATTGAACTACTGAATTCAGAGGCGAATATTCATCTTTTACAATTATAAAAAAAAAATTTTCTTTTTTTTTTGTGTCTATTTGATACGATATGACCCTGAAACTGGCAGATGACGGAACACTACTTATGGCACGGAATGTACTCGTAAATTTTAACGAAAAAAGGGTGGAGGGTTGCGAAACGGGTATGAGCCCAAATCACCCCTTCGGAGAGGGGATGAGTATTTTTCACAATTTTTTACTCTCACTTCGTAGGGATTGAGGAAAATTCAACATTTGCGAGGGGGTGGAAGCCACCCCCGCATGTATCGGGGAGGTTAAAATTTTTACACAATGAAGAGAGAGGGTTGAGGAATGAGGCTGAGCCCAAATCATGCCTCCAAAAGGGGGATCAGTATTTTTTTCCATTTTTTGCTCTGACTTCGAACGGATTGAGAAAAATTCCACATTTTTGAGTGGAAGCGACCCCCGTAACGTAACGGGGAGGTTGAAATTTTCACGAAATGAGGGGAGGGGGTTAAGGAACGAGCCTGAGCCCAAATTATGTCTCCGAAAGGGAGATGAGTATTTGTTTTTTAAATTTTTCGCTCTCACTTCGCACGGATTGCGGTAAATTAACCCTCCCGCCGCGGTCGCGTCATGGCGCGAGCAGCGTTCTGTCTCGATTTTCATTTTTTACGCTGAAAAGTTGTTGAGAAAAAATCTGAAAAAATTGGAATTCCTACGTTTCACCATGTCGAATATTTAAACAATTTTTGTCCTGTGCATCTCTGTACCGATCAAATATTAAAATTCCTTAAAAATTCGAGTCGGTAAAAATCTCTGTGTTTAATCTCTAAGTGTCAAATTTTCGCACCAAATGGAAATCAATTTTTTAATAATGTTTTCACTTTTCTCGTTTTATACTGATATTAGTTGTTAGTTGGAAGTTCAAAGTTACTCGTTTAATCATAAATACATAATTTTTTTGAACTTCTTTTTTTCTCAAAGTGGTAAAATACACGGAACGGCGCAGCGCCCATCGAGAGGTATCGGGGAGGTTGAAATTTTCACACGATGAGGGGAGTGGGTTGAGGAATGAGGCTGAGTTCAAATCATGTCTCCAAAAGGGGGATGGATATTTTTTCTTTCAATTTTTTTCTCTCAGTTCGCACGGATTGGGGAAAATTGAATATTTCAAGGGGTCGGAAGCCACCCCCGCTCGAATCGGGGCGGTTGAAATTTTGTAGAAATGAGGGGGGGAACGAGTTTGAGCCCAAATCATGTCTTCAAAAGGGGGATGAGTATTTGTTTCCATTTTTTGCTCTGACTTCGCACGACTTGAGGAAAATTCAACATTGGCGGGGAGTGGAGGCCACCCCCGCACGTATCGGGGAGGTTGAAATTTTCACGAAATGAAGGGGTTGAGGAACGAGTCGGAGTCCAAATTATGTGTCCAAAAGGAGGATGAGTATTTTTTTCCATTTTTTCCCCTCAGTTCACACGGATTGAGGAAAACTAGACAGTTCGAGCGGGCGGAAGCCACCTCTGCACGTATCGGGTGCCTTGAAATTTCTACACAATGAAGGAAGGGATTGAGAAATAAGTCTGATCTCAAATCATCCTTCCGAAATCACCCTCATCCATCGATCCACATGAGAGGTTCCCTACGTCCTCTTGCCTCGAAAATGTTTTGCTATGCCACGTTAAATTTTTGGTGGCCCTGAAAAGGGCCGATTGTAATGGATTTTCATGCTGGCAGTTGCTGGAAATAGCGTCCTCCAACAGCCACGCAGGCATGAATCCTCCTAAGGACGACCACCTTAACACGTTGGAGCATTTCACCATCCACGTTGGTGGCGGCTGCATGTAGTCGCGCTACTAAGTCCACCTCGCTCTCTGGCTCTGACTCGTAGACTTGATCCTTTACATAGCCCCAAAGGAAAAAGTCTAGCGGAGTCAAATTAGAGGAACTAATAAGGATAGAAATCCATTATTTTCCGGTACCATTTTTTTTCTCTTACCGTGCCGGCCAGTGAAACGGTGCATAGCGATCGAACCAATATCCAGGAAACTGCTCATTCAGGTAAGCAGTGACTTCCCGAGAACAGTGAGGTGGTGCTCCATCGTCCAGCGTTTCCGTAGCGTCTTGCTGATAAATGCAAGGTACGGTTGACCCTGAGAACAGTGTCAAATTTCAGCCCTATATTTTTTTTCACTCGTACTCCAAATAGTGTTAACGTATGAAAAGATGTCCAAAATGCCGTATAATTTACCGCAATCGGTCAATATTTAGGGACTGCAATTTGTATTTCGCATTTAAAATACATATTAAAAAAATTAAATTAATTTTGAAGTCTAAAAATAATCATAAACTATTCTATTCTTGGTGAGATTTTCCAAGTGGAGTTCAAGAAATATCTAGAGGAAAGTAATGAATGGTTTACTGATTTAAAAAAATTTTCCTCATGTACTTTTTGTGGCCAAGTGCTAGTCTGAAATGTGTTCATTCTACATATTCCGCTTCATATGGATTCATCTCGATAACAAATGATTTTACGCGAAAAAATCAAACCACACTTTTTGTTAGAAATTCATTCAGCTACAGAAAAGGTTTATTGACATTTTTCCCTAACATCACTTATTCCTGAGATGAATGAGTAATTGTCGAAAAGAATTGGTTGACGACGAATTATCATTCATCAGGGTTGGGCTTTCCAGGAAGTGCTAGGATTTTTTGCGATACACCACATGAGAGTCAAACGTTACGCGGGTCACTAGGGAATGATCAAATTTCACAAGAGTCAAACGTCACGAGGGTCAGAAGGGGATGCGCTCAAATTTCACGAGGGTCAGGAGTGAATGGTCAAATTTTCAAGAGTGTCAAATGTAACGAGAGTCATGAGTGTCACCAGAAATCATGTTCCGTCTGCTCAGGTGACTCAAAAGCGGTTACCGAAGATCTCGCTGCCTACCTTCTCAGGAGACTTCTCCGAGTGGGCAGCCTTCAAAGATCTTTTTCTCTCGATGATCATCGGCAACAATAACCTCTCTACGCTCGAGAAATTCCATTATCTCCGGACCTCTCTTTCTGGTGAGCCAAAACAATTGATCTCAACTCTGCCAGTAGCTCAAGACTGATTCAGTCCAGCCTGGGATATGTTTATCGCGAGATATGACAACGAACGTCTCTTCATCTCTACCCAGCTGGAAAGTTTGTTCTCTACTCCGACGATCGTCAACCGTACGGCCAAAGAGTTTAATGCTCTCCTCAACTCCACCACCGAAGCTCTCAACGCCCTGAAGTCGTTGGGGCGGCCTGTCGAACACAGGGACGACGTCTTGGTGCATATTATCTCCAGCCGGTTGGATTTTAAGACGTTGGAGGCGTGGGAAGTTAAGATCGGCTCCACCACCACCTTTACAACAAATGCGGAACTCAGGGAGTACATGTTGAGCAGAGCAAGAACTAGAGAGAGAATTGAGCTGCATCGTCTGCACGCTCCCAAGACGCCAACTTCGAGTGTGCCCTCTCAACCACCTAAAGCAAAGCCAGCAAAGGTGCTGAATGTCTCAACTGGCAATGCAGTTCAACAGGCTCGCGGGGTGAGTTCGCAGTCATGAGCAGACATGAAGAGGAGCATTTCATCAATAAGTGCCCCAAATTCAAACAGTTGTCACCGGAAAAGAGGAAGGAGTTCGTCGAGAAGAAGTATCTCTGTTTCAACTGCGTGGGGAAGCACTCTATTCGTGCCTGTAGGACCACGAAGACGTGCGTTGTGTGTCACAAACGCCACCACTCGATGATCCACATCACACGCCCTCAGAATGGTCCTCTGCAGTCATCTCAACCAGACCAGTTGAAGTCTCAAGGTCAGTGGTCTTAGTCTGGTACCCGTCCTATACAGTCCGCTGTTCCGGGGCCTTCATCAGTGCAGCAGTGATCTTCTCAACCAACGACTTCATCGACAGCGGCTCCGGTAACTTCAGAACGTTCTCTACGGCCGTCGCTGTCAAGTGATTCTCCACCTGTAGCATTATCAGTTCATAGATCGTCATCTCAATTCAGACCAGGTGTTCTTCTCGCAACAGCGCTAGCTTCTCTCGTTTCAGGGAACGGAGATTCCTGTGAAGTTCGGATGCTGTTGGATCACGCATCTGAGTTATCATTTGCTACAGATAGTCTTGCAGTAAAGCTAGGGTTGTCGAAGTCTCCAGTTTTGCTACCTGTCGTTGGCATTGGTGGATCAAGGTCATACTCAAAGGAATTCTCTCAGTTCTGTCTGAAGTGTCTGCACTCAGACAAACATCTTCAGATTAAGGCCTACATTCTTGACCATCTCACATCATCGTTGCCGTCATTCTCAGTCTCGGATACTCAAGCTTGGGGCCGTCTCGAGGGACTGAAGTTAGCTGATGCGGAATACATGAAACCAAGACCTATTGACTTTCTCATTGGCGCGGATTTCTTCGGATCAATTGTGGGGCCACAGATCATCAAGGGGCCTTCAGACTCCCCTATAGCAACGCGCGCTAGCTTCGGTTGGGTGGTACTAGGACCTACTTCAGCGGTGATTTCGATGGTGACCAACTCTAATCACATTGCAGTCACCAACGAGGAACTCTACGACCTTCTCACCTCGCTCTGGCTGCAGGAGGAAGTCCCAAAAGCCGAAGATGGTGATCTCACGAAAGAAGAGGCAAAATGTGAGGAGTTTTTCTAGCGCACATATTCACGAGATAGCTCAGGGCGCTATGTGGTTCGCCTGCCTCTTACACGTTCTCCGACAAATCTTGGCGACTCTTATGGTCGAGCAAAAGCGTGGCTTTCCAGCCTGTTTCGGAGAATAGAGAAGGATCAACGGACCCTTCAGCTATATAGTATTTTTCTCAAGGAGTACGAAGATCTGGGACACATGGTGGGTGTTCCAGCCTTAACTGATTCGAGGAATGCCGGGAGCTTGAAGTTCGGCTGTCGATCTGAAGGGATGACCTTGGCACATGGGGCTTCAGCTTAAGGAGGGTTGAGGGTCCCTGAGGAGAAGGAGTCGGCTGATGTCTCCACTCGGTGTTCTGCTCAAAGGCAAGCTTATTCGTCAACTCCTATGTACTACTTTCCTCATCATCAGTGTTGCCATTTCGGTGATTTTGTCACTAAATCTGGTGTTTTGACAATCTTACTTGGTGACACGAAATGCCACATTATCGACCGGTGACAAATCAGGTGTTTTTTGAGATTCGGAGAATAAATTCAAAAAATGGAAAAGGCTTTAATTATTTTCGTTTCAGTATCACATAATTTAATGGATGCATTCTCGTGATGGGCATAATTGTTTACGAAAATATTACAACTCCCCCGCCTCCTCTACATCCTCCTCTCCCTCCATTTCCACCGTCTCTATTTCTTCCGAATTATCTCCATTTTCCTCTCGTTTTGAATTCTCCATCTCAATATCGTCAATGTCTACGTCCTCCATTACTTCTTCACGTCCTAGTCCAGGGAGTAAATCTTCGTCAGAAACCATGGAGCTATTCTGAAACCCCTCATTCTCAGTCCCTTCTTCCTCCCCTCGTCGTTTTCAATTTTACCCAGACAACGGTGCGTACTAATTACCATCAAATTTTTGCATATGAACTTCTTGGTTAAACCCTGAACATTTTCATATACTTACTGCGAGTGTCAACAAACATGCAAAAATCAGTCCGACCGATAATCCTAATGAGACCAGAATCTGTTAGCACAGGCTTAATATAATTCAAAAACGGCATTTCCCGTTTTTATTCCATCATCCTCGATGAGTACCTTCGTAAAATACAACTGATGATTATTGTTGAAAATCTAGTCCATAGCTTCTTAATACACTTGAATTTTTGAGAATTTAAGATAGAATAGCTTGGTTAGTTGACTGGTCGAGACAAAGTAGATGGGCAAGTGTGTGAGGATAATGTTTCCAAGCTTAAAGACTGATTTACACATCTCGAAAATTCTAGGGTTTTTTCATTGGTTGCATTTTGAAACGCGCACATGAACCCACCTGTGGGGCAGCCCCTTCAAAATAACCCCGAACGTCTCATTTCAATCCGCCTTAAGGCTTTCGTCAGTGTCCCAAACAATGGTGGTAGAGTTGCAATGGTAAGAGAAAGTGCCTGAAAAATTTCAACGCAGAGAAACCCCATATACCGGTATTGTGCGTCGAAAATTAATTGAAATTATGGCGAAGACTCCATATGCACAAAAATATCGAGCAGATTGGTTCAAAGATCCAGCTCTCAAGTGGGGTAATCCAGTGTTGAATGACAAAACGAGGGTGCAATGCAGCTGGTGTGCCAGTACTCTCAATGCTCATCTCGCTGATTTAAAGAAGCATGCAGAAAGTTCCAAGCATCTTCGATGTAAGGAGCCTTTCAACGTTATTCGATGGAAGAAATTAGAGACCGTGATTCCCTCTAAGGATTCTGTGGATAAAAAAAAGAAGCATCACTGGCACTCTTCATGACTTGCCATACCACCATGAACGCTGTTGGCCATTTGAGTTACCTTTGTGCAGACAAATTACTGGATGATAAAATGCCTAAAATTCAACTACAACGTATCAAATGTACAGGAATAATAAAAAATTGATGGAGACCACATTTTGAAGAGGATTTAAGAGATGACATTGGTACCAGCAGCTTCAGTTTAATACTCGATGAGTCAACTGATATTTCAGTACCCAAATTTCTAGGTGTCGCAATACGGTTAGTTAATTATTATATGTCATCCAATAAATATGGAATTGATACTGAGGGAAGAGCTAAAATAAATGATGAATATAAATTTTCAGATATTACAGTGAGAAACGAGGAAGGATAGTCTCAACCTTCCTTCAACTGATTAAACTAGAAGCCAGGACTGCTGATGCAATTGTTAAAGCCATCGAGGACGTGATTGGAAAATTTTAACTGGACATGAAGAAGCTAGTGGGAATAGGGACGTACAATGCATCAGTTATGGTAGGCGTGAATAACGGGGTCCATCGAAAGCTGCAGGAAAAGTACAATCTGCCATCGCTCGTCTTATTCAGATGTATTTGCCATTCTCTTCAGTTGGCGATGTCAGCTGCTACCGCAGAAACATTACCAAGACATGTGGAGTACGCAATTCGTGAGACGTATAATTGGTTCATTCACTCAACTCTTCGACAGCAAAATTATGCAGAGGTGTATTAACTGATCAATGATGGAGCTAGTCCTCTCAAAATTCTTCCATCGAGTGACACTCGATGGCTTTCGATCCAAAGAGCCCTTGATCGGATCTTAACTCAATGGATTGAGCTCAGGACTCATTTCGAGATGGCACGAAGATCAGAGGGGGGTTACACTGCCGAAGTTTTATATAAAATGTACGAAGATCCTGTGAATGAAGTCTATTTGACGTATGTGTATGGTTAGCAAAGTTCAGGTAGTCAATAAAGCCTTCGAGGCTCAATCAGCCGACTCTTCAAAGCATCTGGACAATCTTCAGCAACTGCTCAAGTCTATCTCGTCAAGAGTTCTTATCCCGTCGAGAAAAATAAACATTTTCGTTGATGACATCTCCAAGCATCTGGATCCTAGTCCCTATCTGGGGTATGCATTCGAGAAAGCCTTGAGGGAGGCCAAGTGTGATGAGCAAGCCAAGAAAGTTGTTAAACAAAAATACATTGATTTTACTGTTAAGCTCTGCAGAGAGCTGCAGAACAGATTGCCATCAAATTTCACTCTGCTGGAGAAGATGAATTTGCTGCATCCCTCTGAAGCACACAAGTCTCGAGTTCATAAATTACCTATTACATCACTAGCTCGAGAATTTGAAGTCGATGATGCAATTATCTCAAAAATCGAGACTCAGTGGTCTAATTTATCGAATCAGACATGGTTGAATGCAGATAAGTCTTCAGAAGAATTCTGGGTGGAGGTCTCTCGATACACTGATGCTTGTGGGGTGAATACTTTTGACGATCTGGTGAAAATGGCGTTCAGATTGCTGAGTTTGCCCATTTCCAACGCCGAAATAGAGAGAGTCTTCAGCCAGATGAACTTAGTAAAAACCAAGTTGCGCAGTTGTCTCATTCCCAGCACAGTGAATGCTATCCTTTCGATTCGCTACGGTTTGAGGAGAGATGAGAAGTGTTGTCACTCTTTTGAGGTCCCAAAGCAGGTACTGAAGATTATAGGCACGAATGCTACGTACAAGAACGAGGAAAATTCGCAGGAGAGTAATAACGATGACCTGTCTGATGTTCTGAACGAGTTTCAATATTTTTCAGTTTAGGAAAAAACCTCAGGAACATATATTATCAATTTCCAGTATAAAATGTTGTTCTCTAGCATCATTTATCTGTCAAATAGCATGTAATTGTTTTTGTTTAAGGTTAAATTTGATAAACAAAAGAATTATATACGAAAAATATTGATTAATAAATAGCATCTCATTGAAAAAAAATCCGGTGACTTTCAGCCGACAAAGTAGATTTCTCTAAGCAGACTCAGTGATGAGCAGGAGTCGCCAGCTGGCAACCCTGCTCATCATGGTGTTTTCAGGGAAAGTAGTGTAACAACGAAGCTGAGGGTAGTGTTCAACGGCTCCAGTAAGACCAGATCAGGGGTGTCTCTTAATGACATCCAACATACTGGAGCCAAAATGCAGAAGAATATCTCTGTCGTGCTGCTCTCATCGAGGCAGAGCTAGTACATTTTCATGACGGACATCACGAAGATGTTCCGTCAAATCAAGGCGGATCGTGAGGACTTGCCTTTTCAACAGATTCTGTGGCGGAATTCTCAAGGTCAGATCAACACCTACCAGCTCACCACCGTGACCTACGGGACTAAAGCAGCCCTATTCTTAGCCTGTAGAATTCTCAACCAACTGGTCGCGGAGGAAGGACATCGTTTTCCTCTAGCAATCTCTCCGTTGACCAGCGGAAGATACGTGGATGACATCTGTGGTGGTGCTGAAGAGAAGAGTGATCTTCTAGAAGTCTCAAAGCAAGTGGGGGATCTTTGCTTAGCTGGTGGTTTTCCTCCGGCAAAGTGGCATAGCAATAGTCCGTCTCTACTCAGATCTCTGAATCCAGAAGGTGTCTCTCAGGATCATAAGCTGTCAGAGGATTCCATCACGAAGATTCTTGGTCTGAAGTGGGATCCAAACACAGACCAATTCAAGTTCTTGATCCACTTTCCGGCCAACACGAAGGTGACGATGAGGAATATGTTGTCTGAGATAGCCCAGTTGTTCGACCCTCTGGGTCTACTTTTTCCTGTGGTGATCAGGGCAAAAGCACTCCTATAGCGTCTCTGGGTTGAAAAGCTGGACAGGGATGATGCGCTCTCACCACAAATCTCGGATAAGTGGACCCAATTCCATAAGGAGCTGTCTCAGGTCAAAAATATCTCTATTCCTCGTTGGCTCGGAATGAAGAAGGATGTTCTGGTGGAAATACACGGGTTCCCAGACGCATCGCAAACAGTTGTATATGTGAAGATGACACGCTCGGATGGTGTGAGTATCTCTTTAGCTACTGCTAAAACTAAGGTGGCTTCTCTCAAGCAACTCCCCATCCCGAGACTTGAGCTCAACGCCGCAGTCATGCTGGCGAAACTCACAAGGTATGTGCGTGATCAACTCAACCTTGATAATGCTCCTGTGTTTCTGTGGACAGACTCAGCTGTTACCCTGGCATCGATCATCTCTCATCCCTCC